CGACCGGTCACACCCGCCGTGTGCTCCTTGTCATGATCAGGAAATAACGGGAAAACTGGTCATCAGTCCAGTGTATAAATAATGGACTAACAATTATGTATAGTTTTGGCGTTAGAATGTGTATTTTACACTAGCCTATAGCTTTACAGAGGATGTTTTTAGGTGTTATACCCACCCCACCCCCTTACTTATTTAGGAAGAAGTCGGTTATCAACAAAAGGAACAATAAACTACCCTACCTTTATTTTTCTATAAGGAAGGACTAAAAATAAGCTTAGAATAATTTACTATTCTACTAATTTTCAAATGTTACTTGCCACAATACTTTCAAGTATACCTCCACCAACATTTAAAGTATGCTTTAATCATGGCGAAGTAAATTATGATATTATAGAACTTGTGTGAAGGGTTAAATTCATTTCAATGTTTTATCTTTTATCTTATATTTTTGCTTTTCATTTATATTTTTTTGTTTTGATTTAACATATTTTTTTTTTTGGGGGGGGGTTAAAACTTCCTCCTCTCCCCTTGTCAAATAGGATTTGCCAATCTTATACAAGCTAAAAGTTGAATTGAGGGAAAAAATAATTTTTCTATTAAAGAGTATTGGAACCTGATTGTTGCTTAGTTTGATTTCTTAAATCAAGTGGAATATTATTCTTTAAGCAAAAACTATAAGGAAGAATATTAAAAAGAAATTTGATTACTTGACAATTAAAGAATCTTTTTTCACTTTCAGGGGGGGTCATTTTTCAATGGAGGTCAATTTTTTATAGGACTAACATATAAAATAATGACCCCTATGACACTTTTTCTACAAAAAATGATTTTTTTCATACGGAAAGGGGGTCATTTTTTTGTCGTTGAAAAATGACCCCCGGTCATTATTCGATGGGGGTCATTATTTGTCTTTACACCGGCGTGAAGCGTCGTAGTTCACAACCTCATGACCTCAAAAAAGCCATTCAAACTCGCTATTACATATTTTCATTCCATCGATGAAATGCCCCGACTACACCAAATATTAATGTGAGACAATTAAAACCCAACTCGGACAAGCGCAACATTCCGGAATAAACACCCACTAGAAGGCTTTTTTAATTACCTTTTTAGGTCACCTGAGTAAACTCAGGTGACCTATTGCTATCTGTTTTCGTCCGTCGTCGTGCGTCGTCCGTCGTCCGTCGTGCGTTAACATTTGAACATTTTCAGCTTCTTCTCTGCAACCACTGAACCAATTTCAACCAAATTTGACACAAAGCATCTATGGGTAAAGGGGAACAATAATTGTGAATTTCATGATCCCTGCCCCCCTGGGGCCTGAGGGGCCAAAACCACTAAAATTAATGAAATCTTTAAAAATCTTCTTCTTTACTCCTGGACATCAAGCAGTCAAACTATTTGCATGATTGCAATCAGCAATGAGTCCTCTACCAAAATTGTGAAATTCATGGCCCTGGGGTCAGGGGTTTTAGTGCTAGGGCGGGACTAAATAAGTAGGTAGTGAAAATGCATTATTTTTTTGAAAATCTTCTTCTCTGCTCCTGGGTATTAAATAAACCAACTAAGTACATAGTTATGATGAGCAAGAGCGCCTCTACCAAAATCATAAATTTTATGGCCCCAGGGTCAGGGGCTCTGGTGTTAGGGCGGGGCTCTATTGATTATATAGTGAAAAATACATGAATTCTTTGAAAATCTTCTTCTCTGCTCCTAGGTATTAAATAAACTAACTAAGTATATAGTTATGATGAACAAGAGTGCCTCTACCAAAATTGTGAATTTTATGGCCCCAGGGTCAGGGGTTTTTTGTTTTAGGGTGGTGCTCTAATGATTATATAGTGAAATGCATGAATTCTTTGAACATCTTATCCTTTGCTCCTGGTTAATATACTAATGATCTAATAACATATTTAAGGCCAGGATTTATCTTATTTTCAGTTTTACAAACCCTACGCTCAAGGTTTTGAATTTTCAAAAAAAAAATAAATAAAACAATTTTTTTCTTTCCAATGTCAAATTTGAGTCGGGATCGAGATTTCAAATTTACGAACTCGCACTTCTGGTTGAAACGGCTGGTAAATAAAGCTATCTGAGAAGATAGCTTGGTTTAGTGTAAAATTCATCGATAAGAGTGCCATTCAAAACGTTTCACCTGTTCAAAGGACAAATAAAATGCTGACGACTTTGCTGCACAATGACATGCTGGTGAGATAATTATGTATTCGTTTCAAAAGTATCTGTCTGTAAATTATTTTCCTCCCCCAGGTTTTAAACTGCCCGTGGTAGCTATTGCATATTGCCAGCGACATTGTTACAGTTTAGGTCTCTGTTATAGCTTACAGTCTAAGCATCATTCTTCAGAAAAGGGTTGCTTATGCATCAGATGTAATGAATAAAACTATGGGAGAAGTTAAGTCCTTTTGAGGAAGAAATAAACAATAACAACCTGATAACCTGAAGAAATAAAAAAAGAATTCAACTATTAAAAGGCGGCAAGGATATACAAATATATACAGACATGTAATATCATTTGTATCAGCCAGAAAAATTATTTTACACTTAATTGAAAAAATGTTCACCCTACTTCAATACTCCCTGTCTGTTTTATGATAGGAATTATAATTTTAGGCATCAAGTAAATTTTAGAACAATGTCTTCACATTCACCTAACACATATTTAAAAAATGAAGATATATTGAAAGACTTTTAAAGAATGGATTTTTTAAAATATATTTTGACCAACATCATAAAATTTATATAACTGGCCCAAACTGGCAGATGATGAAATAAGCAATTAAATGTTCTACTTTCCTATTTGTAAGCATTATGTGTCCAGTGGTAAGGAGCCTATTAGAATGAAGAAAGGTGTCTCTTTCAAAATAGATAATTTCAGGGCTGCTGGGTCAGGGGTACCAGGGGGCTACTTTGATTAAAAATAAATTAATGCTTTGAAATCCGCCCTTTGATAAGCAATGGTAACTCCTTCAAAATTTGTGAATTTCGTGGCTTTTGGATTAAAACACGAACCAAATACAATCGCTGGAAAGTTGTTACATGATACTCAGGTGACCTATAAGGCCCGTGGGCCTCTTGTATAAAACTAAAGCGCCGTTTTCAATGTAATGTTTTGCAAGTAATGTACCACACAGATAACAAAATATTTGTTAGGTGTAAAATAATTAAGAATTGAGTTAATTAGATAAAGTTAGAGGGGTTCGAAAAAAGGGCCAATGCACTATCGTCACTGTCACCAGAGAAATTTAATTAGTTATCTTTTACGGCATATATTATAAAAGTCCAGTATACCAATTCGGTTCTAAAATCCTTTACAAATCACATGCAATATATGATTTCTCGAAATACATTTGGTCACCCATTTAATCACGAGAATAAAGTATGATAAAATATTTACATATTTTTTTGTTTAGTTTTTTAGGTCACCTGAGTAAACACAGGTGACCTATTGCTGTCTGTTTTCGTCCGTCGTCGTACGTCTGTGCGTCGTGCGTTGTCCGTTAACATTTGAACATTTTCAGCTTCTTCTCTGCAACCACTGAACCAATTTCAACCAAATTTGACACAAAGCATCTATGGGTGAAGGGGAACAAAAATTGTGAATTTCATGATCCCTGCCCCCCTGGGGCCTGAGGGGTGGGGCCAAAACCACTAAAATTAGTGCAGTCTTTGAAAATCTTCTTCTTTACTCCTGGACATCAAGAGTCAAACTGTTATTAGCATGATTGTAATCAGCATTGAGTCTTCTACCAAAATTGTGAAATTCATGGCCCTGGGTTCAAGGGCTTTAGTGCTAGGGCGGGGCTAATTAATTATATAGTAAAAATGCATTATTTCTTTGAAAATCTTCTTCTCTGCTCCTAGGTATTGAATAAACTAAGTAATTACATAGTTATTATGAGCAAGGGTGCCTCTACCAAAATTGTGAACTTTATGGCCCCAGAGTCAGGGGTTCTAGTGTTAGGGCGGGGCTCTATAGATTATATAGTAAAATACATGAATTCTTTGAAAATCTTCTCCTCTGCTCCTAGGTATTAAATAAACTAAGTAAGTGCATAGTTATGATAAGCAAAGGTGCCTCTACAAAAATTGTGAACATTTTATGTGAATTTTATGGCCCCCGGGTCAGGGGTTCTGGTGTTAGGGCGGGGCTCTATTGATTATATAGTGAAAATACATGGAATCTTCGAAATTTTTTTCTCTGCTCCTAGGTATTAAATAAACTAACTAAGTATATAATAATGATGAACAAGAATGCCTCTTCCAAAATTGTGAATTTTTTGGCCCCAGGGTCGGGTTTCTGGTGTTTGGGCAGGGCTCTATTGATATTATAGTGAAAATACATGAATTCTTTGAAAATTTTCCTTTCTGCTTCTAGGTATTACGCAGGTGAACATACCTATATAGTTGTGATGAGCAAGGGTCCTAATCATCAAGAATTGTGAATTTCAAGGCCCCTGGGTCAGGGGTACCATTAAAGACGGGGAGGGGGGATTACTTATATAGTGAAAATGAATGAATTGTTTGAAATCTGCTCCTTGGTATTAATCAAATATTTTTGAAAAGCAAGGATGCCTTTTTAAAAACTGTGCAATGTGTGGATCTAGGACTATGGGTCAGGGGTTCATGTGTGAAAGGGGCACTACTGATTAGTTGACATGCATTTTTTGCTCCCCTACCCTGCCTTTGGGTATTAAGTAACCAAACTAAGCAACTGCTAAATGTATTGTTATAATGATCAATGGTGCCTCTTTCAAAATTGTGAATGCTATAGCATCTGGCTTAAAACATGAATCAAATTCAGTCACTGGAAAGTTGTTGCATAATGCTCAGGTGACCTATAAGGCCCATGGGCCTCTTGTATTGTGTTATGGTACATATCAAGAAACTGTGCATTAAATTGGAGTAAATAGATTACACATATATATAGAGAAATATTCTGTAAAAAATATTCTGTAATAATAATTCATATTCCAAATTAGCAACTACGACAACCCATGTGAGGTTTTATCTGCTTTTGCGACATCTGGAACTTGTCCACCTCAACTTGAGGCACATGGTATCCCGTGTACGTGTCCATTTAATCCATCCGACATCAATCTACCCCCATCAGTGTTCGAAGTGAAAACAATTAATGCATCCTGGTCGTGGTTTGTCACGGTTTGTATAAGTCGCTCAATTGATCTGCAGAACCGACCTTTTAAATTTCGAAAGAAAAAGTAATTGAATGCAAATTTTGTGTCAATTTAGGGGAGGTTCCGAGTTCAAGCTGAGTTGTTTTGTCGCTTTATATTGCAAAAAGGACTTTTTGTTTCGTAGTGTGAAAAAACACGCACCACAGACTGAAAATATTTTCAATTTCAGGGAAGGTTCCGAGTGCAAGCTGAGTTGATTCATGGCCATGATATAGTGGGATGCTTCCATGTCCAATTGGATATCAAAAGGATTGGAGGTCATGGATTTATCTTTGGACAAAAATAAATACAAAGATCTGCAAAAGCTGAAAAAATGTACGATTACAAAGAATTAAGGGAAAACATTTTGTTTAAGAAAAAAAATCAGCAGCAGTGTCCTCAATTTGTGGAAATTTTTAATCATTGTGAATTTGTTGATGTGATGGGACCTTTTCACAATATACAGTTCCTCTAAAGTTATCTCTACAAATGGTAATATTTTGCTAAAGAGTAAAGTTAGGGACTTGATAGAGAATAATTTTATTTAATCACAAAAGGGTCCAGTCTTGTATTACACCATATTTTAAGTAGTCCAGGCCTTAATTGTATGTCTTACTAAGTGAAAGACAAAAAAAATCAAAACACAAAAAACTATTTCGGGGGTTGAAAGTTGTTTTAAACATCTATAAAATAATTTCAATTAAACATTATTGAATGAAAAGAAGAAAGTACTATATGAACAAAAATCCGCCCAGTCCCAAAATCTTATTAAATTGTTCTAGAAACATGTCGAGAGTGACCACTTCCTATTTCATTTTGATTTTTGTTATTATCTCAAACCATTTCTTCAAGAGACCACTTCAAATATAGGTAGTTTTCGTAAGAAAATAACGCTATGATGTTATGACGTCGTCAACTTGGCGTTATCGAATTTCAACGTTTTTTAACTTTTTAATCCCGATACAGCGCCAATAAAAAAAATAATTTTGAAGTGAAAAAAAGTTATAGCTTACTCTTCCGTTCCATTTGTGGACTATTCTTAAAATGTGGAGCGAGTTCGCTGAATATAAAAATTAATTTTCTTTACTGGAAATATTGTAATGAATAGGCCTTCTTGAGTTATCGTTCATATTTATTACTTCCCTTTGGGCACATGTAAATACTGTTTATGGGAAAAAAGTACCCATTAATTACCCATAGATCTCTATACAAGCCTAATGCCCTCCCAATAATTTACTTATTCCCTTTCAAGCAAATTTCTGATATCATTTGAAAGTTCATTCTAAGCACTTATTAAAAACTTGGGGAAAAAAATATACAATGCCGCGGCGTTTATAGGTCAAATTTGCATTTATTTCCAACTTACAGCGATCAGCATTAAATGACACACTACCAAAAATATCAATCTTCACCCCCTACAATCTCCCCTGATATTTTTATATTTTCTGTAGTATTCCTACATTTCACCATTTATTTCAAACAATAATATATTTACTTTAAAATGAAACTATTTACATACCTGAATTCAGCCAATCAGGTAAAGCCTACCCATTTATTACTCTGCTTCATCTTGTTCAACCAGGAAATGATGTTAAAATCTGTGTCTTTGGTACTCTTTTTCCTATATAGAGTATGCGCTATTGGTTTTATTTTGTATGCTAATGTTGCTGATAATTCGGAGATTTCATACTTATTTAAATTGTACTAAATACAAATTAACCTTATAACAAGGATGATTGGAGATCGTTGGTGACCATTGGTGATTATAGGTAACGGCATTGGTTTACGTGTTGGTGATTTGGTGATTATGAAAACCTCAATAAAACAGCGCTATCTCAATTCTGTAAACAGATCATACCTGTATACGACAACTGGGTTCCTAATATATTCAATTTTGTTGTTAAACACCGCTGGCATCCCATGTAAATGCAAATTTTCCCCTAAAATTACCTTGAAATCAGTGGTAACTAGAAACTTCCGGTTATGGGGTTTTGGTAAAGTCACCAAACTCGGTGACGTCAACTTGCGCACTACGTCATTATTTACATTGTTGACACAAGAGAGTAAAAGCAGGCGATACGGAGTCAGAGCGGGCAGATAATCAGATAGATAGAGACAGCAAATAGACAGAGAGAGCAATTATAGCAGTAGAAGCAGAATGTAAGTTTGGGCAACAGTTATACAGACACCAAACACTTATTTAAAAAGTTACAGACATTAAAGTTTATCTATATTATACCATATACCTATACGTTGGGTGCCAGTCGATATACCCCCCCCCCCACCCCCTTTTATTTATTACCCGTATTACAAAAACGTAAGCTGCGCTAGAGTATTGATTAAATTGGATAATTCAACTTACCAACCAAGAGTTTTTCAGGGATGTAATTTTATTATTTATTGAATTAATTTAATCTCACAATAAACTCCTCTAAATTTTGAGACAGCGTCTTTATTGAAAAAACAAGTATTCTCGGGCACGTTACAATTTTTGGTGGCAAGCGGTGGGATCCTGTAAATTCCTCAGGATCCTGTGGTCGAATCTACACTTGGTTATTCTGAAATTAAATAAAACAAAGAAATCATATATAAGTAAATTCTATAAACATACGTAAAAGAAAAATCATGGCAGACTCGCCCGATCATGAAGTGCAGTTTAATTCCGTTCGAGGTGACGACGATGAGCAGTTACAAGCACACAGTGATGATGAAGAATCAAGATTAGATTTGCATATTGGTCAAGGTGATGCAATGGATGAATGCGACAGAAGATATATAGATAGAATGATGGGAGCTGATTCACCCCACACGACTGGTAGACGCCCACCTTCCATGAAACCAGAAACGTATGACGGCAGCGCCGATTGGGATGAATATTTATGTCACTTTCAAGTTTGTGCCGAATTGGGGAAATGGGTCAAGAGAGAAAAGGTTTTAACTTTGTCCGCAAGTTTAAGGGGAGCTGCGCGTACATTTTATATGAGTTTGGGGACAACAGAAAGAAATGTTTATGAAACGCTTTTGATAAAATTGGGCCAGAGATTCGGTAGTTTGAGGCAGCAGAACAGGTGGTTAGCGCGGTTCGAGTCAAGGAAACGGCAACCGGGGGAGTCAATAGCAGCTTTGGGGGATGATTTGAGACAGATGGCTCAAAAGGCGTATGTTGGACTGGACATTGTTGCTCAAAAGGCTATAGCGCTCAACCAATTATACAAGACCATTACCTTAGAAATGAAATGCCGATGTATAGATCGTAATTGCCGAACTGTATCGAAAGCAGTAGCTAGACATAATAAAAAGGTATGATAGCATCCTAGGAGACCAGACTCTGAAGAAGCCTAGTGTCCGCGTTGTGACCACTGACGCTGCTCCCAAGACAAATAATTCTCAGCTTCGAAAAATGTTTAAGGAATTGATGGACAGGATAGAGAAGCTTGAGAAAATTTTTTTCAAACAAAGCTACCTCAGATCGAACTTGTTTCCTGTGCAAAAGGCCAGACCATTTCTACAGAGAATGCCCTATGAACAAAAAGGGACAGATGCATGAAAACGATCAGAGTTACTTGCCCCCACCACATAGAACTTATATGGCCGGACGACCCAATGGACAGTTCCAGGGAAACGCAAAGCCATCCTCTCAGTAGGCCCAGAGAGGATGGAGGAAAAAGGGCCTGTTGCAGATGGTTGCAAGCATTCGGATGTGAGACTTGGATATTCTGGAGAACTTGGAATATGGGACAATGGATTTTATGTAACAGCATCAATTGGAGAAATTGTTGCTTATTTTCTCATTGACAGCGGCTCCACGTCAACGTTGCTATCTAGTCAATTTTATCAGAAGCTTAATTCAAATGAACCAATCTCATTACACTCTGTCTCCAAGAAATTAAGAGATGTAAATGGCAATGACCTTGTGATTCGTGGCAGTGCAGAAATTCCTGTAAAATTCAAAGATGCTGTATACCAGATTCCAGTACTGGTCTGTGACATTTCTCAAGACGTTATTTTAGGACAAGATTTCCTCCTGAAAAATGCCTGCAAAATAGATTACCAGAAATTGCAGATAGTTATTGGCGACGAGACCTTGAACTGTTGGACAGGTGGTAATGCTGCCATGGTATGCAGAGTACAAGTGAAAGAAACAACTACTTTACCGCCACAGTCCCAGATGATAATCCCAGTCAACATTCCCTATGCTTGCAAGTTATCTGAAACAGCCCTTGTTGAACCATCAATCGAGTTGATGGAAAAGAAAGGAGTTCTTCTCACTCCTGGAATAATTAACTCAAAATCAAATTATCAGATGGTGAATGAATTTTTCAGACAATGAAATAAAGCTGTACCCAAATACTCATCTGGGTTGTTGTAGTTCTTTAATTATAGATCCCCTCTGAATGTGACCAGCATATATGTGCTAGAGTAGTCAGCTCTGGGGAGAAAGCAGATTTTCCTGAACATCTTCAAGACCTTTTAAAGCGCAGTTCGGTTCATCTGACGACAGAAGAAACCAAGCAGTTAGAGCAGTTGCTATTCAAATATGAAGGTGTCTTTTCTAAAAACAATCAAGATACTGGCAGTACAGATAGAGTGGTGCACAGAATTGAAACCGGTAATGCCCCTCCAATTAGAACACAACCCCGCAGGTTACCAATAGGTAAAAAGAAAACTGAACAGGAAGAAGTAAAGAAAATGCTTGATAATGGCATCATGGAGCCTTCTAGGAGTGCTTGGTCCAGTGCAATTGTACTTGCTCCCAAAAAGGATGGTTCGACTCGTTTTTGCGTGGACTACAGAAAATTAAACGAAATTACAATTAAGGATGCCTATCCCTTACCCCGAGTGGATGATTGTCTAGATTCCTTATCCAATTCAAAATGGTTTAGTTCTATGGATCTAAATTCTGGCTTTTGGCAATTCGTTATGGCAGAGGAACACAAGGAGAAGACTGCTTTTTCCACAAGCCTTGGTCTATTTCATTTCAAGGTCATGCCGTTTGGTCTATGCAACAGTCCAAGCACTCTTAGTCGCCTCTTGGAAGATGTATAACGGAGGTTGCAGTGGGAAGAATGTTTACTGTACATGGATGACATTATTGTACCAGGTTCCACCTTTGCTGAGGCACTACAAAGACTGGAAAATATTTTTGAAAGGCTGAGAGATGCCAACTTAAAACTGAAACCATCAAAATGCAATCTTTTTCAAAAATCAGTTAAATTTTTGCGACATGTGGTGTCCGAGGAAGGGGTTCAAACTGATCCAGACAAAACAGAGGTTATCAAAAAGTGGCCAGTTCTAAAAACAGCAAAAGATGTTAGGTCATTTATAGGACTTTGCTCCTATTATAGAAGATTTGTACCTGGGTTTGCCAGCACTTCTAGACCATTACACAAGCTTTGCGGGAAAAATTCCAAATTTATTTGGACAGATGACTGTCAACAGGCTTTCGACTCTCTTAAAACAGCATTAATGACCCCACCTGTATTAGCTTACCCGATTCCTGGAAAAACATTTATCCTTGATACTGATGCCTCTGACCGTGCAACAGGTGCTGTTCTATCTCAACTACATGACGATGGAGAACATGTCATTGCCTACATGAGTAAAACTATGAATAAGTATGAGCAATCATATTGCATAACCAGAAAGGAATTATTAGCAGTTGTAAATGCCCTGAAACATTTCCATTCTTACTTGTATGGTCAAAAAGTACTTACCAGCACCGAATCCACCAAGGAATCGTAAAAATCCCACAGGACAAATGGCTAGGTGGTTGCAAGAAGTTGAGAACTATGATCTAACAGTCACCCACAGACCAGGTAGAAAACATACAAACGCTGATGCCATGTCAAGGAACCCCTGCAAGGTTTGCGTCAGGCAGGACAAGGAGCCAGAACCGGAAATACTACCCAAACAATTAACAGATGGCACTGTTCGAGTTATCACTATAGGACAAACAAAAATAAACTATCCAGATACCAATCTAAGGGAAGTTTAATTTCTATTAGAGGGTTGGGAGCCAAACACTATTAGGCAAAAACAACGAGAGGATTGCAATATAGGACCAATTTTAATAGCCAAGGAAGATGGTGACAGACCCCCTGGAAATCTATTTCTAACCAGTCTGAGTTTTGAAGACCTTGTGACGTCACTGGGACAGGTTGTAGGTAATTTCCGGTTTTTTATATCGTAGATGGTGTCTCTTCTATAGACCAACTTGTTGTTCCAGAATCACTACAAAAACAAGTACTTCACCATTATCACGATATACCATCTGCGGGACATCTTGGTGCTGAGAAAACACTAGAAAGAATAAAACAAGGATTTTACTGGCCTTCTATGAAAGACTATGTTCAAGATTACTGCTATTCCTGTGACCACTGCGCAGCCCGCAAACAGTCGTCAAAGAAAAACCATGCCCCACTCGGATCTTATCATGTAGGAGAACCAATGGAGAGAGTTGCTGTGGATATTCTTGGTCCCTTACCTGTAACCAAACAAAGAAATAAATACATACTAGTTATGGTTGACTGTTTTTCAAAATGGACAGAAGCTGTAGCTCTTCCCAATCAAGAAGCAAATACTGTAGCAAAGGCTTTTGTTGATACCTTTGTTTGTTGTTTCGGCACCCCATTACAATTGCATTCAGATCAGGTTCGGAACTTTGAATCCAATGTTTTTCAAGAAATGTGCGATCTGCTGCAAATTGACAAGACTCGAACAACTAGTTATCACCCTCAATCAAATGGGAATGTAGAAAGATTTAACCGAACTTTAGGTGACATGCTTTCTATATTTTGTAACAAGAACCAAGATCAATGGGACCAATTTCTGCCCCAAGTTTTTATGGCTTACCGAGCCTCTGTACAATCTACATGTAGTACTGGACAGACACCAAATGTCATGATGATGGGTAGGGAGTTAACCATTCCTATGAGAGCTATTATAAGGGAACCTGTACCTGGAAGTAGCAGCTCTTCAGATGAAGAAAATTACATCACAAAATTTAAAAAGAAACTCTGTCAAATACATAATCTTGGAAAGGAAAAGCTGAAACAAAGTGCCTTATACCAAAAGAAACAGTATGATGTGAAATCAAAAAGGAAAGTTTACAAAGAGGGACAAGCTTTTTGGCTCCATGACACTACAAGGAAAAAGGGAGTTTCTCAAAAATTGTCTTTCAGATGGAAAGGGCCATATGTGGTTATTAAGAAAATTGATGACTTGACTTATCTCGTTAGAAGATCCAAAAATTCAATGTCACTCTGTTGTAAAATTTAATTTATCAGGTGGGCCTGATCAACCTGCATGATAGATTAAAGAGTGTGAGGAGATTATTACGGTATTATTACGGTATTTTTCTATTTTTTATTTTGGTTCAAAAGAAGAGGAACTGAGGTATGATAGACCAGTCAGCAGCCTGAATTTTAACCGAGATGCAGCTATTCTAAATTATACCTTTTTAAATAAATAAATGCTGATCCTGTTCCTGGCCTTGTACCTGATCCAATGTTTTTTTGAGTCCCCACCAGACTGGCAGCCAACAGATATTGGTTAGCTGAAATTTGAACACAAGAGACATGACAAAGATATAGAACAAAGAATCCTGAAAAAAAATATTATGACTAAAGTTAGTTATGATATCACTTATAATTTATCATATGTCACTTGAAAAAAAATTAAATAGTAAGTTTCATTGATTGTAGGTGGGACTGTAGACTTTGTGAAAAGTCGTATCCATCCAGGAAGCAGATGATGAGGCATTACCAGGATGTTCATGGAGATGTTATAAGGTGCAATTCCTGCAGTTATGAACTACCAGGTTCCAGGAAGTATTTGATGACGAAGCACTTTCAGCAACACCATCCAGGCGAAAAAATCTGCTACAAGATTCACGCCAGAAAGGAACAGCGAGATTCCTACAGTCTGTCTTTTCCCTACAAAACAAGGAAAATATCGAAATATCCCTCTTCAAAGAAATCCACAGCACAAAGCCGCAATTCTAAACCAGAGAAACCAGTGAGTAAAGATAAGAATGAAATGAAAGATGTCTCACCTTTGAGGAGTCCCTCGGTGTCAATTTCCCTCCATGGAAGTCCACCTCTTGTCAACCTGTACGGACTAGATGACATTGATGTTTCATTTGAGCCCCCCAGAAAAGTTGTAAGGTCCAGCCCTCCAGTGAGTCACCCTCCTCCTGTGAGCCAGCTTCCTCCAGTGAGTCACCCTCCTCCTGTGAGCCAGCTTCCTCCAGTGAGTCAACCTCCTCCTGTGAGCCAGCTTCCTCCAGTGAGTCACCCTCCTCCTGTGAGCCAGCTTCCTCCAGTGAGTCACCCTCCTCCTGTGAGCCAGCTTCCTCCAGTGAGTCAACCTCCTCCTGTGAGCCAGCTTCCTCCAGTGAGTCAACCTCCTCCTGTGAGCCAGCTTCCTCCAGTGAGTCACCCTCCTCCTGTGAGCCAGCTTCCACCAGTCCCTGTGAGCCAGCTCCCACCAGTCTCTGTGAGCCAGCTTCCACCAGTCTCTGTGAGCCAGCTTCCACCAGTCTCTGTTAGCCAGCTTCCACCAGTCCCTGTGAGCCAGCTCCCACCAGTTGGTATTCCTCCTCCTGTGAGCCAGCCTCCTTCAGTCAGTCACCCACCTACTGTGAGCCATGACCTTTATCCTAAGTCAACTCTTTTTCCAGGAAGGAGTGCTCCTGCAGCCACCATTGTGCCGACCACGACTCAGACTGGCGTTCCACCAGAAAGCCTCAACTTTCCTGACGAACTGGTGATGAACCCTGCTGCGGCTTCTACGACAGCCATGTCTCCGACCAGTTCTTTTATGGCTAGCTTGGGAGCTGAGTTTCCTCTGATCTCACCCTTGAAGGAGTCTGTGCTTGTCCCTGTTGTGTCCTCTGAGCATCCAACATCTTCGGCACCTGTGGAAACGTGTCCTCCTGCATCAGATTATATCTTGCACACTTGCCAGGGTTCAGATCTGAATAAGTCATCACTTGATCTCTCCCATAATCCAAGACTTTTCTTTGTCGGTGTCCCGAGTGGCCTTAACAACACCTATGTAGACAACATGCTGAGTAGAGCCAACAGAGAGGCACGGAGATCGGCGGGACGGTCACTTACTTCGATCCCTGCATCTGTGTGTAATATCTCCAAGAGAGATTAAATTCGATTCCCTGATGGCCGCACATACTATTTAACGAGTACCATTTGCCCCGACCCGTATTACCGGATGACCATGGAAGCTTCCACACAAACCGACGAGTCTGACATTCGCCCTCCTACACCCAGGAAATGTGATGCCTCAACTCAGGTTACCACCAGGCAGACCTTCACTTTGGAGTGATTGTGAACTGTGACTTTCTTAAATATATGATAAATAGACAATTTTGGAGCATAACAAAGATCTGAAATAAAAATTAAACTCAAGTCGTTAAAAATACCAAGATTAGATATATTTGCATTTTATAAACATGATGACACATAAGTCTGCATTAAAGAATGCAAATAACGTGTAATTTAATAATGCTGAAAATCCTAATATATAAAGGGTGGATTAATAATTTAACACAACTTGTCAGAGGGGGAATTTACAATGCTAATTATTAAACAAAAAAAACTCTTTTGAATGCTTTTAAATAGATCCATATAGGCGTCGGAACCGGGCGGGCCTCACTTTTTTTTTTCCAAAGATGGACTTAGTATAGACATCAGACACTGCTGCGTAGGTTTAGCCCCCCTCCCCATCAGATTGCCCTTGATGGCAAATAAGGGCGTCTTCGCACGAGTGAGGGTTTTTTACTGTTCATCATAAGTAATGCAGCAAAATTTCAAAAAATAAACTCCCCAATTTTACCCGCAACGATGCTAAGGCTACTTGAAAATGGCTTATGTACGCATTTCCAGTGCTCTAGCTGGAAAATTTCACTGTAAATGTGATGGAGAATTGCTGATACGAAATTTCACTACATTACGCCTCAGCAGGTTCTTACGTATCATATGCATTAAGGACAGTCCTTGTACCGGAAGTCCAAAGGTGGTACACTGCTCTAAGTTAGAGAAAATTCGACCTAATCATCTGAAAAAGGGGCATTTAAAAATGCCAAAGAATATGTCCTTCGCTCAGATCTCGATATTAATAAACTTATTGTATCGTAGAAATTGAGCTGCAACTGTTGTTTAGGACAGTCTTGAATGTTTTACTTGTATGTCTGGGAGGGGGGTGTTTTAACAGTCATATGGTACTTAGTAAAGTTAAAAGATAAACATTTAACATTTTTATTAAATCGCTGATCTTCTGAAAAGTGAGTTTTTCCTTACTTTATTTGCTTTTAGAACTCATAAGATAAAAAAATCAAACATTTGTAGATTACTGCTTGTTGCGTTTCTTTTGCGTGTCAGTATATTTAATAGTCTCTTTTTCCCCAGACTCTCGCTCTCGAGACTTTGCCCGAGCGAGAGTCTGGTCTGATTCCTATTTATTTTTTGTAACCAGTAGAGGTCGCTAAACCGGCGAACAAGATGGCGACTCCCATGAAAATACATGTGAGAATTTACTTTTTAAACAAAGATATGTGCGTTTTTTGTTCCTTATAAAGCAGACAAAGGTATTTTATTATAAAACCAGATAAAAGTAAAGGCGCAGCCTTTGACTTTTTAAAGAATACAGAGCTTACCATCGAAGAGAATGTATCAGCCAATGAAAATCCATACCGATTTCTCGGTAAGCCTCGATTTGAAATTACAAAAATTAAATAGGAATCAGACCAGACTCTCGCTCGGGCAAAGTCTCGAGAGCGAGAGTCTGGGGTAAACGAGACTATATATTTAAGCCATATAACATGGTTATTTTGGGGTTTTTTCTTTTTAATCACGAACCCAAAAATATACTCAATTTTGTTATTTATATATTTATTTATTTTACAAAGAATTCTTCAAATTCTCTTAGAGAATGTATACTACCACATTCTGGAGCAATTGTTCAATGGTTCCTTTTTCCATTTGACCCCCCGTGGAGATCCGGGTTAGAATAGGTCCTCAGTACCCCTTTGCTTGTCGTAAAAATCGACAAAATGGGGCTGTCCTTCGGATGAGACCGTATAAAACGACCGAGGCCCCATGTCACAGCAGGTGTGGCACAATAAAGATCCCTCCCTGCTCAAAGGCCGTAAGTGCCGAGCAAAGGGCTAAATTTGCAGCCTTTCACAGGCAATGGTGACGTCTCCATATCAGTGAATTATCTGGAGAGGGACGTTAAACAGTATACAATCACTCAATCTTCCATTTGACAAAATGTACTATGCTTCTTGTCTGTGATTTTGAATTTTGTTAAAAATTAAATCCTGAAACAGTTACAATTATATGTAACTTTAAAAGACTATTTTAAAAAATCCTTTTTTTGTCATTCGTTTCAAACATTTCATTCTACTTTCTCATACCCGTAGGTTCTGTGCTGTTTTGACTGAGAAGATCATAAAATTAACTTGATTTTGATACATTTTAGAATTTCCTATATATATAACGAGGTTTTGTTTATATATTTTCGCATTTCTCTTTATATAATAAATATTTCAATTTTTTCTTCATCTTTATTTGAGTTATATTACTTGAGTTTGAGAATGTTACTTATAGTAGAACTGAATATATGCACTAAAAAGGTTTTAACGTAGTTTATCCAGTTGTTCTTGAAATTGAAAGACGCGATCTTGAAATTGAAGTTATCTAAAAAAATTAAAATGAGTTCACATTTATTTTTTTCAAATAATTTCAATTTCATACGTCTGTGCTTTAATCCGCTTAAAAAAGGGGAAATTATAAAAAAAAAATTGTGTGACAAACGAATATTCGACACTTGTTTGACTTATAAAAAATAAGATATTTGATTAAATCAAGAATTTGCATTTGTTCATTAAAACATTACGTAATTTTTTGTTTTCAAAAGTAGAAAACTAGAGTTTAAAAGAAAATCTTCAAATCATTTGTTTTGTTTTCGTAATTTAACAAAGGAACATGATATATATATATTACTTAAGCAAAACTATAGCTTTTTATGATATTTTATGAGAAAAATTAATTAAAGTGATGTACTCTGAGAGTGTATAAGCTTTAATCATAAATTAAGCTTTCATGCTTCGTCATCACATAGTTCACTTTTCAGTTTTTTTTATCCAAAGATAAATCCATGACCTCCAGTCCTTTTGATATCCATTTCGACATGGAAGCAGCCAACGATATCATGACCATGAATCATCTCAGCTTGAACTCGGAACTTCCCCTAAATTGACACAATATTTGCATTCAATTACATTTACTTTAGAAATTTGAAGGGTCTATTCTGCAAATAATTGAGCGACTTATACAAACCGTCGCCAGCCACGACCAGGCTGCATTAATTGTTTTCACTTCGAACACTGATGGGGGTAGATTGATGTCGGATGGATTAAATGGACACGTACACGGGAGACCATGTGCTTCAAGTTGAGGTGGACAAGTGCCTGATGTCGCAAAAGCAGATAAAAACTCACATGGGTTGTCGTAGTTGCTGTTTAGAATAGAGAAAATATCTACATTGTAAAGTTATGCATAAATGTCTGTTGTGTGGAATATTTTGTTAAATATAGTATTAAGATGAATTTGCTTCTTCACGTTCCATTTAGGGTGTCTACTCCATATAAATGCAACGGATAGTACAAATTTGATATTAAAGGATTAAAAATTGAAATTACTCTTAAGGGGGATGTACGGCCACTTTTAGTGCAGTGAGAGCAAAATGTAAACATTTCTTCAAATGGCTAAAATACATTATATTTTGATCAAATTTTAAGTCTTTTTGATAAAGATACAATAAATATGCATAACCGAATGCATGTTGTGCATATATAATCTATACTTTTGCAGAAAAATGCTTTTGATATGCTCCTTAGAACTGCGCAGCTACAGAATTCAGCAGAGCCTTAAAAAATCCAAAAAAAATATGCAAACTGTGCATTAATGTTCTCTCTACAACCATTTGTTGAGAAAATGTCTAAATTTTGCACTTTTAAATGATAAATTCAAGTTCAAAACAAGGTACCATTATCTTCAAAAAGAGTGTAAATAACCATGAAAGTAGTTCATGGATAGCAGCACGTGGTCTATTTTTAGCACAGAATCTTGTTTTCCAGACCTCTTCTTAATATGGAGGGGCATAACAATCTTTAAATGTAGAAGAGAATATTACAGTTGCAAAATATTTCAAATAATATGAACACTTTTAAAAGAGGAAAGGTGTTATAGTGTGGCTTGAAGTAATTTATTTAGTATTATTATCGAACAGTTGTTATATACATGTAGTTTACGTATTGATATAAAAAAAATTTAAACTCTTTGATTCCAGGTAAGGAAAAATGAGCACCATCAAAGTTAAAAATTAAGAGTTTGTAAGTTTGCCACAGATAAATTATATTATCTATTAATTTAATTATCTACAATAAAACACAAAGAAATTAGACACATAAAATTGATACGAATGACCTTGTTTTAGTACCTACTAGTACGAAGCGTTATCAAAAATTTCGCGAAATATCTCTATATCTACAAAACCACAGTTCAGATTAGATAGCCAAACACAAGTTCTATAAATAGCATATGCTGAAGTTTTGATCCTTGTTTGTGATGTCACAATCTGAAAATGACGTCATTATTCAGGTACTTTTGACGAAAAATGGTTGTCTCAGTGGAACTCGTTCAACAATTATGGCACATGTATATCTTAGAAATGCCTTTGAAGTAGCGTATAAGAATTTGTTCATGTGAAGCAGTTTATTAAATGGCTTCCTATAATTTCAATCAATGATTGGATATCGTTTTAGTGAAGGAAGGTAGATGGTTAAATATGATACTTGTTACGTTGCCCGGTGAAAGCAAGTTTGAAAAGGGATGTGTTTTTAATAAAGCAATATGCTATCAAAGACCTTCAATTAAAATTTTACACTTTGAAAAATACTTGAATATTTCAACAATAATATAAATATAAAATACCTAAGATATTGTTTACTTTTTGATCACCCCTCGTATACTGTGTCAAATAAACATGCATTTATAATTTTCATTACAGAGGAGCAACAGTTGAAAAGGCATGAAATCATTCAGAGTGGGTTAGGAGATTTAATGAAGAATTTTTTTTTTCTATTTGCCCATATTTTCAAAATTACAATTGTACAACTTTAGTAAAGAGAAAAAATCAACCTATAAACATCTTTAAAATGATGTTTGGTGGTCCTCCCAACTCAGGGAAAAATTATTGGGTCCGTATTTATAGGTGAGAAAAAAATCCTTAAAATTTAAACAGAATTGTTGACGGAAGAAAAAGAAAAAAATATCGTGTAATGGAATGTTACAAAAATGAGTCGGGCCATTTCTAGGCAGTAGATCGGGAGAGAGGGCAACCAAATATTTTCATAACAAGTGGTATTATAAGGCTAGTACATGTTCCATCACATACTTAGTAATGCAATTTTTTTTTAATCTTTGACACTATTTTGAAAAACAAACAGGATTTTCAGGGGAGGGGGTTAGCACTCACTTTTTTTTGCGATGATAGACATAGCATATGCAATGGACCTTTCTTTGCAAACATTGTGCTCGCTTCTAAATTTCATAGAAACCACTCATTACATTTATCAAGCTTTGTATGTTCAATGAGCGAGAGCTTACAACGTTGTCAACATAATGAGACATGATGCGTTTTTGTGTCCAAACATGACCCCATACAATGTATGGGTCATTGCAAACATTCTAGCTATTTATGTGAGGTGCCTGAAGGATATCCTATAACTGCCTATTTTTTCTATCTAACTTCTAAACAAAATAGACATATGTACCAACTTTTCGAATGTAAGACATGTAATTACAATTTATTTTTCATGCACTGCATATTGTTTAACATTTTCAAATTAAATGCTAAACATCCTCCTTGCAGTGCCCCATTTGAAAATAACTTCTATCGCCTCAGAAAAAAGACCCACCGTAAACACATATGTTTAGGACATTTTTATCTTTTTTTCTTGAGTTTTAAAGAAACCAACAAATTATCAAGACTTGTTCCATAAAAATTAAATATAATCATGGTAATAAACGGATTTATCCACAGCAGATATATGCACATGCCAACCATGTGCTTAGTGGAATAATATTAACGAGGAATTTCGAGTTGTAAACAGAACAGTTTTTCACGATTTGCTGGAGTGAGGTTAAAATCGCGTTTTTTCATTAATCAGACGATGCGATGCAACAAATAAAAGTAGTAAGTAATATAACCTAATGATTATTACTTAGAAATTTCTTGTCTTGATGTTATTATGGTCGCATTTATTCTAAAATCATTGTTATTCGAACTCTGTGTGACAGAGGAATGGCGGACGAAATAAACACATGGCCTCAGGAAGACACCCATATGAAAAATCAAATTTTCAAGAATTATGGATAATGACAAGAAAAAAACGAAACAAATGGTTGTAGCCATATTATCAATGAATCAAACTAACTCCATTTTCAATGCATTTTTCATCTCATGAATGCTGTAGCTGCGCAGTTCTAACATGGTTAATTTTCTTCTAATTAAGACAAAATAAACTTAATTGTTTACTAATTTTGGTCTCTAACAGTAGGTAATTAGTGCATTAGCACTTTGAGTAACTTTAGGCTAGTTTAGTAGAGTATTAAGCGCATTCTTGGTATTTCTTAGTTTACACCAGACTAGATCCAATATGGCTTGTACATCCCCCTTAAAGCTTAAAGCTTTTTTTTTATTGATTCCTTTTCAAACTACAGTTATATACAATTAAAAATAGTTTTGCTTTAGAACAGAAAGGTAAGAAATACTGTTTTGTCATCTTAAAAAGTTGTTTTTTTTTTATAAAAAAAAATTGCCATTTCATATTACTGAATATCTGGATATCATAAATTAATAAAAAAAAAATAGATGCTTGTGATATCATACCAAGATCCTACGTTACTGTTACAGGGAACCTTTGTCCATACTCCTAGGAGATATTTGTCCATGTGAACTACCATTCTAACATCTTTACCAAAGTTATGATGAACTGATCCTCGTACACCGATTGTGATGTTTCCAGGAATCACCACAGGAGACGGCGACACGGACACAGATGTAAACGTCACATACGGATGGGCAGTAGTGGGGGCTTAAAATGAAAAATATAGAAAAACATTGTATACATTACCTCGGGATACAACTTACCGGTGTTCTGGAAGGATTTTCCAAAAATACTTACTTAGGCTTTTGTTTTTAAATAAAACTATAGGAAATCATAGCAATTTCTAGTTTACCCGAAGAAAAACCATACTCTCTTACATCCTAGTCGCCCGCGTGGCGCAGTGGTTAGAGCGTCTGCTCTAGAGTCGCGAAGTATGGAGTCAATCCTTACGTCGCGGGTTCGAATCACACTGCGGGACGTGGAGACCGGTCCTTCGGATGAGACCGTATTAACCGAGGCCCTGTGTCGCAGTAGGTGCTGGCACGAAAAAGATCCCTCACTGCTCAAAGGCCCTGAGTGCCGAGCATAGGACAAAATTTGTAGCCTCCCACCGGCAAGTGGTGGCGTCTCCATATGAGTGAAAAATTCTCGAGAGGTACGTTAAACAACATACAATCAATCAATCAATCAATCTTACATCCTAACTTCGCACCAATTTCTCGAAGTGACTGACCAACAATTTGATGAAACAAAAATTTCAACTCTCATTTTAAAATTCACAAATTTTGTTGTCGATACAATGTTAGCAAATACAATCAATAATTCATTCAAATGCTGATTGACGAAAGGGGGTCTCATTTCTCTTAGCACCTATCTTATCTTTGATGTTTTAAAGTTCGTGCTTCTCTCCGCTCATTGTTTGAATGGACTTTTGAACTTGGGAATTTTTCCTTTTTCCAATATTTCACTTATTTACTTATTTAATATATGGAAATTTTTAATTCAAAATGGCTGCGTTCGCTTTGCACATTTGAAGGATTTTTTATGTTGAACTTTGTTTGTTGTCTTGACCTTTTCGTGTTAGGAGCTACATGCAGGTTA